GCATAACCTATCACTCCATAAATATAAACAAGGAGGAGGTTTAACCTTCAACTCCATAATTATGATCTGAGGAGACATAGTCTACTATATGATCATATGATCGTGAAGGCAGAGCCTACCATAACGATCGGTTCGGAGAAGGCATAGCCTATCATCCCGTAAACTTGAAAATAAATTGAATATAAATTTAAATCATCAGTTTGAGGAAGGCAGAGCATATCTTCCCGAAATAATACATAAACGGAGAAGGTATAACTTATCTTCCGTAAATATATAAATTTTAGATCGACTAAACATAAATTAAATCTTACCTCCAAATATATGGACGGATTAAGAGTCGATCCTGCTGATAACATATTAGATATTATATGATATAATGGTGAGATGTGTTTTGTATATGTTATATATATATAGATATACATATGGAAGAGAGATAAAGAGTGAGCAAGAGAGAAGGGGAGAAGACACGAAGAAGAGAATTGCTCCCTTCTTATTATTTCATCCTTATGTTTGCAAGAGATGCACTTATTTATAGTGCAACTAAGTCGGTGACTTAATCGACATGATACATAAATTATTAATGAAAAATGGATAATCATTATCCTTTTCTAACAATAACAAAAATTTATGAATTTTATTTGGCAATATAGGTAAAGTAGTTGATAATTATTTGAGGATTTAGATATTAATATCTAATGAATGCAGCTTTTTTTTAAAAAAATATTAATATCTAAACTAGAAAGAAAAATAAAACTAGTCATATAATGACAACTCTTTCGGATCACCATATAAAAATTGTACTACTAATTAGAGATTTCTATATAAATTTTACATGTAAAGTTATTTTTATCATAAAAACAACAAACGTTTCTTTACAGAGAAAAATCACAATGTCGTCATCTAAATTCGCTCTATTTTGTATGGTTCTTGTTTCCCTCGCTAGTCGTCATGAATATATGTCATATATTATTTAGCTTTCGTTCATCATCTATCATAATTATCCTCCATAGTCATTTCAAATGGTTTTGTCTGTTCTTTACGCAGGTTTTGTAAAATCCTATCACAGTTCAAAAGGTAAAAAATCCACCGTGGTCTCAGAAGGGAGACATTTTTCATACTTTCAGTGCAGAAGTGCACCGGACGTCGTCGTTGAAACTCCCCATGAATGTTGGAAAGTATTTCCGAAGTATGATTTATAATCCAGCTACTCCTTCAAAGATTAAACTCCTTCAAAGATTGAAGAAATTTGAAAACTGTAACTAATAGACCAAATGTTTTCGTACCTTTACTCCTCATATAAATTAATATTCACTCTGTTCTGAATTAAGTGATATTTTAGTATTGTGCACAAGAAACTTAATAGAAATACTATTTCTAACATTCTTTAATTGAATATAGAGTTTTTTAACTCAAAATTCTATCAAATTTATCCGCACGTAACATACAGATTCTTCAACTATTTTAAATTTAAATATTTTTGTATTTTCTAAAAACATAATAATCATAACAAAGTATTAGTATAAATCACTTGATTTAAAATATAATATCACTAAAAAATAAAAAAATATAAAAAATATCCATCAATATTTTTAATTAATTATAACATAAATTATTATTTAATATTTATATAAATATTATTTATGAATTAATTAATAAAAAAAACTTTTTCTTTTCTTTGAATGGTGTAAAACATATTAAAATTTATTAATTAATTTTTTTAATAAATATGACACGTGTCACTTCATATCGATTGAAACTGATGATGTGACACTCATATAAAATGAGTTGGTTCTTTTTTATAAATAAAATAAATAATAGCAAATAAAATTATTTTATGTTAATTTTGCATAAATTTGTGAGAACATCACTTATTTAATAATAACAAAAAATTTCTAAATATATATATCCTTAACTAAATACAATTAGGCCTATATTATTTATGTTTAGTAACTTTAAAAGTATAAACTTAAAAAATATATTAGTTACGGGAAAAATACCAAAAAATACCTCAACTATTTAATTTTTTGGAAGAAACACACACAAACTTTTAGTGTTGCCAGAAACCTACACAAACTATTTATTCGATCCATAAATATACTTAAACTTTTTAAAATTCCATTTTCCTCCTTCTGATTTCACGGCTGTTAACGGACATAACGGAATTAATAAACTATATTAATTTTTTTTGTAGGAAAAAATGCTAAAAAAGTACCTCAACTATTTTATTTTGCTAGAAATCCACACAAATTTTTCTGCGTTGCTATAAATCTACACAGACTTTTTTCAATCCATAAAAATATCCAAATTTTTTTAAGTTCCATTTCACTTTAACTTTATTTTTCTGTTTTCTTTTCTCTCTATTCATTTTAACACTATTCATTTTCTAATTATTTATTTTGAAAGTAATTAAATATTTTGATAACACTGGTTAAATTATGAAATCTACTACAACATAATTTTGTAACGAGCAACCCAACTATTCCACAAGAATCTACGATCATGATGAATGATTTCACTTCTATCACATTAAAAATTTTCTTATGCATTTGCCTCCATTTGGTCCATTGGCCTCCACTAATTAATATATTTTTTCAATTCAAATTTTTATATATATATATATATATATATATATATTGTTTTTAATTCAGTTCTAAACCGTTTAACTACAACTTGTGTCACTATTTTACAAGAGTCAGAATATTACGAACTCGGGTTCCGATCCTTATATAGATACATCATATATTTGATATAGATACATCATATATTTGATATAGGACTCAATGACGTGTTTGTCGTCGGCCAAAATAAGTAATGGGCCATCTCAAGCTTACTAGTCCATATCTCGTTGACGTTACATGTCGTCTTCTTATGTAGACGTTGACGACCATAATTTTGTTTTCTTCTACAATAATTTACGTAAATATCTCTATAGGCTTATTAGTTATATATTTGGATATTTCTAGGTACAAATGGAAGTATAAAATCTGTATTCTACTGAAATATTAGTGGTTCCAATTAAAGTCAATCCGAATTGACGCCTAGATCATTCCCAGTCTCACGATTTTTTTTATTATGAAATTATATACTATAAGATTAGGTAGCGAAGAAATTCGAATACTTTATAGGTCTGTAGTTTTTACTCGGTCAGGGACAGACTCCAAAAATATCAACATTGGATTGCACTAGTATGTTAACTTAATAGCAAAATAGCAAAATAGCGAAATAATTAGAAATCAATAGAACTAGTTTAATTCAAAATTAAATACTTAAATCACTAAATAGCATTATATATTCATTAAATAATATTTTTGAACTAAATTGCTTATAAATTTAAAACATATGAAATGAATTGAAAATAACTAAAAAATTACTAAACAAAAAATATATGGATATTTGTCTCAGTTCTATATTTTCGCTTTGTTTTTTTGTTTTCATTTAATTAATTCATTTGATTTCACAACATACCCAAAACTCGTCTTTAAACACAGAACAACTAAATCCATGTAATTCATAGTAGTTTACAAGCTACAACTAAATAATATATATAAAAACATGCTACTTAAATTAGAATGATTCCCTTTTTTTTAACAGCTAATTAGAATGATTCCTTATATAACAAACAAACGAATCTAATTAATTGACAAAAACGCAAACATGAACTTACGATGTGAATGTACTTGTCTATAAAGTCAGAGTAACGTAAATTACTGATCTTCCTTCAAAAAGCTTGGTTTCTTATACTCTTTCATAAAGTCAATAAAAACATTTTTCCTCAAAGAAATATCATGTTTTTTTTTTAAAGATCGTTGGACCACAGAATAGTTAAAAACGTTGATAAAGAAGTATTATTTCGAACTCCTTTAAAAGAAACAAAGAGCAAGAAATATTAACAAGTTGGTATGAAAGATATATGATTGTTAAAGAGGGAATTCAATTTTGATTGGGCAGCTATTTGATACTTTTTTAGTTTTTGGTATCTCTCACAAGTGGGTAAACTTCAATTTCATTTTGATTCTTGATATTTTAGTTAGCTATTATTGTAGATACCATATTTTTAATTATTTATTAATTGGACTAGATTTTAAATTGATTTAGATACTAAAAAAAAAGATTGATGTAATAATCGAAATTCTTAGGTCATATTTGTAACATGTAATTATCATAACATGATTTCTAAGTAATCTATATCAAAAATTTCATGAAGTACAGTTTTGAGTATATGTTATATCATTTTCATATTCTGCTATAAAATCCCCATATTGTATGTACTACGTAGTTTTAACCACCTTGACTTCAATGACTCATTATTAGACTATACAGTATTTGTAAATAGTACGTAGTGTCCCCACATACCTCAACTGACTTTTGGCATTGAGCTTAATGTAAGTCACTTATCACATCATCACGAGGCATACTACCTGGCATGAACTTTCCACTTGTATGAACGTTAAAAATGATTATCTTAAAATACTAGAACATTATGTTTGTGTTATCATTAGAATTCTAATCATCGTATTATACGCTAACTTAGTATACGTCAGCCATAACCTTAACTGACTTTGGTATAAACTACACAAACTTTCGGTTAAGGCCCAAAGATTCTCGGCCAACATCTCTCGGTCATAGTCATAGAGGATAATTAAAGCACATTATAACCCACATGATCACACAAACACTAGTAAAAAAACCGCATTTCTTGACAAATAAGAAGAATATTTACATAAATCTTAGAGATTGGACGACTTTCTGAACTGTTCTTTTTCAGCTGAATAGAACTATAATGTTCAACTACACCACGATTCTGTCAATTTTTACAATGATTGATAATTACATTTTTTTTAATAAACGAAATTCTTAAGTGTTTGGTGAATATCATAGTGATCAAGAGATTTCTAGTAGAAATCAACTTTCCCAATTAAGACTAAAAACATTCTATAGCATGAATTTTGTCAAGCTAATGTAGCAATCATCCAAATGTAACTATTTTAAAATAAGACGTTGGTAAAAAAGTATATTCATTATACGGTTGAAAATAGAAATAGATGGCTACAAAACATACAAGCACCAAAGACGGGGAACATTTGCAAAAAAAAAGAAAAAAAAAAACACTATACTCTCACACATTTATTATTTTACTTATACAAATTTAACATGTACACATTAAACTCGAGCTTGCATGCATTTATTCAAACTTATTTTTTTTAAAGAGGAAACTGTGTGCGGCGTCGTGTGCATAGCTGATTCAAGTGCATTCGAAACCAGATGGAACCTTCTTGTTACACTTGTTGAGAAGAACGCTGAGAGATATAGGAACGTTAAGGTTGATTCCGAGAACGTTAGCCCTAAGGGCAGTGCAGAGACAAACAGCGGCCTCGAGGTCAACTAAACCTTGGACAAGCGAGCAGCATTCTTGAGTTGATGGCTGACCCAACTGTATGTTGAGTAGGCCGCTTAGGACATTTGCACATACACCGAGCTTGAGGACATCTATAGGACAGTTTTGGGATGAGCCAGGGGTGCTAGGAGGTGGGACAGGCCTAGGGTTAGGACTTGGGACCGATGGACTTGGGACATGCTTGGGGGGCGGAGGACATGAGACCGGCTTAGGCTTAGGACTAGGTTTGGGCTTCGGCTTAGGACTGCAGCAATCAGTTGCAGCGGTTAAGGTGAAAAAGAGGATGTTGAGTGCAAAGAAAAGAGCAAGTGAGGCTGAGTTCTTTGAAGCCATCTTATTTCAAAAGATAGATTCAGTTTAGTAAGGATTATTGACTGTGTTTGAGCGAGAGAGAGATGGATAGAAATGAAGGGAAGGTGTTGGTATTTTATAGGGTTTTACAAGGATGTGAAGAGGACCAACTTGTTGTAGTATAAATAATTATATATTTTTTCATTCTAACAAAATATCCGGTCTTTTATCTGTGTTTATCTACATATACAAACTCTGAATCCTTTTTTTGTTCTCTTTGTGTAGATACGTAGAACCGAACCTCGAAATAATTTGGAATGTCTTTTTTTATATATAATTAAAAGGAATGTTTGATTTCTTAATTCATATTATATGCAGTATTATTGTCAAGTTGTCGTTAATGTTATTATCACCACCTTCACTAGATAACCAAACAAAAAAAATTACCAAAAAGTAACCGACAAAGGTCGTGAAAAATATATGCAATTCTCTTTTCTTCCTATTGATTTTTGTATAAAACATTTTAGTGTTATTAAACTGAGTACAACTAAAAATTCATGAAACATAGAAAAAAATATACCAAAAAAACACGTAGACTTCAAAATTCTAGGTTAAAAATTGACCGATTGAGCCCAACCAACATTACAGATCAGTTGATCTCTCAACATTAGACTCTGATTGGTAATCTGTGAAATAGTAAAATTATGTTCTTAAACATGATTATACAAATATTTTGCCAATCAACAAATATCTGCAGAATAAAAAAAAATCTTGTGTTTTTACTTACAAAAATACAAAAACAAAAAATCATTATGCAAAAAAGCAAGTTTGAACGAGATTATTTTATCCCGCAAGATTATTTTTTGTAATTCTGCAATTCTGCAGTGTTACCAATCATACCCTAAATCAGAAAATTTAACATGATTGGGATCCGTTCCTAATTGACATATCTTTATCACATCAAATCTAAAACTACCGATTCCAAGAAGCCAGACACTTTTATACGTTGTCGTCCGCAGAAAGTTGAGCCGTATTTCCATAAGTAGAGCTGATACCACGTACTACTTTTAGGAAACGTACTAGATAGGCAACGTTAACATCCTAAATAGGACACGCTTTGTATTTTTTTTGTAAACATCCTTAATAGGACAGACAATATAATCTAGTACAAAATTTGCTGGAAGTCCTCTGCCCTTGTATTATGTATTATTCAGATTACTTATTTATCTAATTATATTTTTTGGATTAATTTTTTTGTCTTTTTAACCAAGAAGCTTGGACCTTAGTTCTATACTTCTATAATCTCTCCGGGTTGAAAGAGTAGATCAAGTTAAATTAATCACTCATTTCTAACCTGAGATCTTCTCAACTCTTTTTTGGGTAACCAAGTGTTATACCAGTTGAGTTACTGGCATCGAATAATCTCCTCAGATATTTTTACTGAAAAACAAAAAAGACAAAAAAATACAAATTAGATTTCATAAAACTACAAACTAGATTGTTACATAGTTTTTTTTTTAATTCTCAAAACAGATGTGTCTAATTTGGTTGATACCTCTATATATGATAAATTCTTTTCTTTTTTTTTCTTGGGGTCAAAAACCTAAAACGTACGTAGAACAATTCGAAAATCATAACTGAACATAAATGATAGATTTTTGTTCACTTAAATCAGGTTCGTGCATTAGCTTAAAATTAGGGATACATTTGGAAGAACCTGGGCTGCGCTTCTCCCATGCACCAGAGATCATCTCTCGACAATGAACAAGCCTTCTTTCGATTTGAGTTTTCTGTTTATCAGACACTTCGGAGATATAGGCATATGGAAGATGATATATTCTTTTTTTTTTGTAATGAGTTTTGTTATATTTTCAAGAGGATCCTTAGGTTTTATTGAAACTCACTATAAATGTCACTGAGAGACGTGCAGAGTAGTTCCAACATTTGGAAAAATATTTTTTGTGATCTTTTGTAATTAGTCCATTACAAATTCACATGGTCAAAAATTTGCTTTGAAATGTTTGGTGAAGTCCATCGGACCGGACAATGTTCCAGGATATGACAATTTATGGTCAGGATATAATTTCCGTGTTTAAAAAAAACAACAACCTGGTCTGGTTAGACCAACTATCATCAAGTCAATTATTTGGTTTGGATAGGTTCGTTTTTTCAATTTTTTGTCAACTTTAATTTAAAAAAATAAATAACTCGGATTGGCATTGGCAAGCCAAGCCAAGCCAAGCATATTCGGAATTCATAATTCAGAGTTCTAGCATACGAACACTATTGACCAGATAATTGATCTTAGAATTTAATAAATCGTAATTCTCTAAATTGGCATTTATACTTCTATATATCACGCAATATAAATGGTAATGTTTATTGTTTGACTTATAATGCTACTTTTTATATGTAAATTTTGCTACTCCAGTTTGGTTTACTAAATCTTTTGTTTAATTCAAAATTAAATATCAAAGTTGACAAAAAAAGTAAACCTGGTTATAATTCAAAAAATTATTAAGTGATTCATATAAAAAATAAGATGTTTCTAAAAATAAGAATGTGAGAACTGAGAACCTTATCTGATCTATTCAGAATGCAGGTAATACCACATACGATGAGGAAATAGTTATATAGTTTGGTTTTCGGCCATCCTAAGATCCTAATGACAATATTAATGTAAAAATATTTCTCTTTCTTCGAACAAAAGGACACATTCATTTGTAGAACGATTTTTTTGGATTTGAATTAATGTTACATTCATTTTTTTTTAAAAGTGTTTATAAAATTGTAAACCACACATCATCTCGTGTCTCGCATTCTGGTTATATCAACTTGTGTCTCTATTTTACAATAAAGTCAAAATATTACGAACTCGGAGTCCAATCCTTATTTAGATACATATCTTTGATACTCATATATTTAGATAACTTAGATACATATTTTACAATAAATTCAAAATGACGTGTTTGTCTTCGGCCAAAACAAGTAATTGGACATCTCAAGCTTACTAGTCCATATCTCGTTGATGGTTAATGATCGTCTTCTGTTAATTCGTCATTCTATGTAGACATTGTCGACCATAATTTTGTTTTCTTCTACAATGCTTTACGTAAATATCTCAATAGGTTTAAATATTTGGACATATCGTATGAATTAAGCTCTGGGGTCCAAATGGTTTACTCTTTCATAAAGTCAATAAAACTATTTTCCCTCAAAGAAATATGTTTTACAAAGAAACTAGGACCACAAGATAGTTAAAAACGTTAAAAAAAAAAGAAATGTTATTTTGAACTTTCGTCACGAGAAACTAAGATCAAGAAAAATTAGCAAGTGGGTATGAAAGATTTTAATTTTTTTCTTTTTGGGCAGCTATTTGATACTTCTTTTTCCCAGTTTTTTACCTTAATTATCTCACACGTATGGGTAAACTTCATTTTCATTTTCATTCCAGATATATCAGATAGTTATCTTTCCACCAAGGTGGTAAGTATGGTCTTCGAAATAGTTTTAAATAGCATGTTCTTTTATGTTTAATGTGTATATAGTTATATATGGCCTTCCTACATAATAGCTATGTTACTAATGTTGCTTTGTATTGTTTTTCTGTCAACAGTTTTGTAGTTTTCATTTATTTAAAACTTAGCTATTAGAGAACTCATATTTTAAAATTATTTATTAATTTGATTATATTTTGTTTATTGCAGATAGTACTAAATAATTAAGAAAAATTGAGATAAAACACAAAATTCTTAGGTCCTATTTTTGACATGTTTATCATAATCTTTCTAAGCATTATATATACTGTATATGTTATTCGATTTACATATTCAACTATTGAAACCCCAAGATTATATTAGTACATACGAAGTGTTAACCATCTTTGATCTCTTTGACTCATTATTTTCAAATCGCGACTATATTCGTAAATATCTTAGCGAAACTGGCTCCAAATTTCTAGTTTCCCCACATACGTCAACTTACTTCTGGCATTGAGCTTAATGAAACTTACAATCAATCACATCAACACGAGGCATACTACCCGAACATGAACTTTTCATTTTTATGAATATAAAAATAAAGCATTGGCCATTACATATAATGTAGTGGTTTCTGTTCGTTTTATCACTGCGTCATCCCATTAATTCAAATTCATTATAATGCATATTGTTGAAAAAAAAACACACAATAACGTTTTCTTAAAAATTCTAATCATGAGATATATACGTATAATTAACAATAAAAAATTAAAAACAAGTTATCATTCATTCGGCCAAGAAATAATGCTTCTCAGTCATAACCTTAATTGACTCTGGTACAAACTACAAAAAAAATTCGGTTAAGGCCTCAAAGACTCATGACCAGTTGACCACATATATTCTCGGCCGAGATCTCTCGGTCATAGATAATGAAAGCACATATACATCATTGAACCTTAACCGCAATTCTTTGGACAAACAAGATTAAAATGTACATGTCTTAACTAATTATCGGACTTTATTGATAAGTGATTACCGAACTGTTCATTCTCAGCTGAATATATGTTGCAGAAAGATATTTGAAAATATCTCAAATATCTTAATTATATCTTTAATTATTTAGATAATTTTCTTTTATTGTTTTAGAGTTTTCTAGTGTTTTGAATTTAGTATAAATAAGTCGTTTAGACCTTGTATTCAGTTTTTGATTAATTAATAGAATTGAGTTTTCGTCTTTTTGTTCCTTGTTTTTGGTAGATCTAAAAATATTTCAACGAATCTTAAAAGATTTGATTTATTCGGAGATTCTTAGACTAAACAAATAATTTTGCAATTATCATATTTTTTGGATATTTTCAGAATTAACGGATTACTATTCTATCTTTTTAAAGTTCTCACTCCAACATTTGGTATCAGAGGCGCTACATCAATATATAACTATAATGTTCAACTACACCACAATTCTGGAGAAAGGACTAATCTTTGTTTAATTTTTCAATACGATTTTAGGATGAGTACTAATCACAATCTAATAAGGATTGTTTTTATAAACGAGATTTATATTGTGTTGCCGAATATCATAGTGATCAAAATTTTTCCAGTAGAAATCAACTCTCCAAAGAGTAAAAGCATTCTATGATATGAATTTTGTCAATATTGTGTAATAGCCATCCAAATGAGTACTTGAAAATAAGACATTGATTAAATAATATATGCATTATACAGAGTGAAAATAGAAATAGATAGCTACAAAAACATACAACCACCACGGGGAACGTTTACCAGCAAAAAAAAAAAAAAACTACAAAACTCTCACACATTTATTATATCACAAACAAATAACATTTAAACATTAAACTCTCTAGCTTGCATGCATTTATTCAAACAGTAAATATTTTGAAGAGGAAACTGAATCAAGTGCATTCGAAACCAGATGGAACCTTCTTGTTACACTTGTTGAGAAGAACGCTGAGAGATATAGGAACGTTAAGGTTGATTCCAAGAACGTTAGCCCTAAGAGCAGTGCAGAGACAAACTGCGGCCTCGAGGTCAACCAAACCTTGGACAAGCGAGCAGCATTCTTGAGTTGATGGCTGACCCAACTGTATGTTTAGTAAGCCGCTTAGGACATTTGCACATACACCGAGCTTGAGGACATCTATAGGACAGTTTTCAGATGAGCCAGGGGTGCTAGGAGGTGGGACAGGCATAGGGTTCGGACTTGGGACATGCTTAGGGGGCTTAGGCATAGGACTTGGGCTCGGCTTCGGCTTAGGACTTGGGTTGCAGCCACAATCAGTTGCAGTGGTTAAGGTGAAAAATAGGATGTTCAGTGCAAAGAAAAGAGCAAGGGAGGCTGAGTTCTTTGAAGACATTCTTTTTTCAAAGGACAGATTCAGGTTTATAACGAGTATTGACTGTGTTTGAGAGAGAGAGATGAATAGAAATGAAGGGAAGGTGTGAGTATTTATAGGGTTTAATAAGGATGTGAAAAACCTTGTTTAAGTATAATTAACTATATATATATATATATAGTTCTGTCATTCTACAAAAATATCTGACCTTTTATCTGCGTTTATCTACGATTCCACATATACAATCTCGTTTATTTTTTCCCTTTGTGTAGATATTTAGAACCGAAAACTGAAATCATTTGGAAAGTCGATTTTTAAAATTTTTATATAACTAAAAAATGCTGGATTTCTTCATTCATCGGTCCCTTAAATTATTTGGAGTATTAGATAGTATTACTGTCAAGTTGTCGGTATTATTGCACATTTATTATGAGTATTTGGCTCGTAGTCATTTTACTTCAGATTTCGGAACCTTTTGAAGTTTAGATAAAATCCCAGCCACTAAAAATGTTCTATGTGAAAAGTTTCAAATAATATACCCTTATTATCAAATAGATTAAAAGGGACATTAAAAGCGTTTTAGGAAATATACGTTGCGGAGTATTGTATATGTTACATCCGGATAAATCATTTTTGGGTACAAACTTATATTTCCTAATGGAAATGATATCATAGACCAACATAAAAAAAAAAAAAAAAACTACAAGCTGTGTAGAAATATCTCAAAACAATATCTTTGGACGTTAACTTGTCTCATTCAATTTTTTTTCTTCCTATTGATTCCAGTATATAACAATTTACCGTTTGTTTTAAACCGACTACAACTTAAAATTTATGAAACATACCAAAATATACTAAAAAAATAACTTAAACGTCCAAAATCTCGGTTGGGAAATCGACCGAAACCAACCGAAATTACAAAGGGTGAATTTGTTGAATAACAAAACAATCAAAGCATAGGCAACGTTATCATCATAAAAAAAAATAATAATAATAATCGTACCTTACACCGTTCCTAATTGAAATTTTTATCATATCAAATCTATAATGACCGATTCGGGGAAGCAGGACACTTTTATACATTGTACTCCTCAGAAACTTGAACCTTATTATTTTATGTAGAGATAAAATCTCGTTAAACTTTTAGGAAACCTTTAACAACGAAAAAAATCACTAGTAGGAAACGTACTGGATAGGCAAGTATGCAACGTTAACATCCTTGATAGGACAAGCTTTGCGTCTTTTTTTGTCAACCTTAGTAGTACAATATAATCCAGTAAAAAGTTTGCTGGAAGTCGTCTGCCTTTTATTATTTATTGTACAAATTACTTATTTATCTAATTATAGTTTTTGCATTGATTTTTTTTTTCTTTCTAGCCAAGAAGTTTATACCGAGTTCTAATCTCTACGGGGTCAAGGAGTCGAGCAAGTTAAATAAGTCCCTCATCATTGTCGGACTTACACCGATTGAGCTATTGATATCGAATAATCTCATCAGATCTTTTTACCCGAAAACGAAAATTGCCAAAATACAAATTATATTTTTATATCTAACTACAACTTGTTAGAATCACACATTTGAAATTTAAAGAGATTAACACTAATATATAAGAGATTTTATCCAATCTATTAAATGCCAATTGGTTTTGCATTGAAATGTAAGAGCCTTCTTTGTTGATCCAAGAAAATTTATCCAAGAAAGATTTATTACCGGTTCTAAAATGGAATTTGGTTCGAAATAAGTCGATAAGACCCATCATTTTGATGAAGCGTGTTAGAATCCTAAAGTTTAAAATGACTAACACTAATATATAAAGACTTGAACAAATCTACTCGTTGTTAATTGGTTTGAGTTGAAAACAAAAAACTTAACACAATTTGTAAACAAATTTAAACAAGTTAAAAAAAAATATATATAATATTTTTTAGAAATGATAGGATATATATATATATATATATATATATATGAATTCAGTTACAGGGTAACATTGTAACTTCTTGAAGAGAAACGAAGAACAATAAAGATTACATATGGGCGGTTTAAAGTATTAACAGCCTCATCACATTGGTATGTAACAAGTTATATATATATATATATATAATTATATTATAAATTATGCTAAATGATACAAAATTAGTTTCATTGGTAACCATTGTTAAACCTTAGGCTCATAGTCACCTCGAAGCATGAAATATGTTTGAAAGGTTTCTTGATGAGTGGAGATTTTGACTCATTTTAACCTGTGTTTACTAATTGTTTTAGGAGTTTTTGGAGTTTTTTCAGGAAGTTTCAGGTGACTTAGAGGCCTTATCAAAGGATTGGAGTGTTTAGGAGGCATTGGAGCAAAAAGAGATGAATTTGAACAATAAGGAGCTATTTCATTCGCTTTTGGAGGAATCATCCGCGGAGCACCTGCTCCCGGTTTGGACCCTTCGTGGAGCACCTGCTCCAGATGGGAGAAAAATAAGGAAATCGACTTTTACCTAATTTTAGGAGGAGAAAGAGAATAAAAAGTCCACAACCGCCTGTGTTTTATTAGGACGTTTTTCTACAGACTTTCTATGCTTTCTTTTTACAATTTCCTGAACCATAGAGTTTTTTTACTTGTAAGCTTTTGGGAGAAGAAATCTGCTACACTTTGAGAAGAATTCTGAACCCTATTATCTCTTCTGCGATTTTAATTCATGAATTCCTTTCCATCTGTTTCTGTGTTTCTTTTCTCCATGTCTGAGTAGATCTCTTAGCTAGATTAAAGCGTTCAAAAGATTTCATGAGTTAAAAAATTAGATGCAAATAAGGCTTGATATCTATTGTCTTCACCATTGTTAGACTTAATGCTTAGGTTGAACTGATCACTCAATCTACGATTTTAGGTTAATATATTCATCAAAAGTGTAATAGGTTGCTAGAATAAACATTGGTGAGCGATTTGTCCTTAGCCAACGACAGTTGAAGTTAAGGCAAATCGTGAACAGATCAAACCTGCTAGCTAATGCTTGTCTGCAATTTTCTAGGTTCAAACGACAGTTTAGGATTTAGGTTGTTAGACAAAGTTATCGAGATCACGACAGTGGATCGATAAGCTTTTCTGTTTGAGTTCGAGACTTGCATTACACTTGTGTCCTGAATAGTCATCTGGTTCTTATCTCTGAAATTCCTGCGAATTGCTTTGGTCTAGTGCTTGTTTTAATTTGAATTTAAATCGTTGCTTGCCATTCTGTTTACTTTTTAGTTTTCGCAACAAACCATCTTTCGTCTTAGCTTTAATTCAATCCTCGCAAAGTCATAGAGTAACACTGGTCCTCTGGATTCCGAATCCTTTATATTACAACTACATCACTGTTCTATTGCAGTAGAAACTAGGAGTACATCCAGTGTGAATCAAATTTTGGCGCCGTTGCGACGGAGACCAATTCGTTACCTTTGATTTTTGGTTTGAAATTCAGACTAAGGCTTTACTAATTTTTCTCTCTTGTTCTCTTGTTTGCGTGTGTTTCAGGTGTATGTCAAACATATCCACAAGGAGCAACTGCACCGATCTTGTTTCTTTGTCGAACACCGAGCTAGCAAGAGTCGAGCGAGAAAACAGACGTCAAAGGCCTATTCAAGCCAACATGGGCGATCAAGGCAACAATGAAAACATGGCTGTCGAGCTAAAACAGCTTCGACAGCAATTGGAGCAGCTGCAAAAGGCGCAGCAAGACAGGGAGCAGCCACAACCTGCTATTGGAGACAAGGACAGTCTGCATGCTTACTATCACAACAGGGCTGCGATTGCTCCTCCAACCATTCAGAGGCAAGACTTTGAGATCAAACCTCAGCTGATCTCATTGGTGAAGCAGCATCTCTTTCATGGGCTTCCTGCTGAGATTCCGATGGACCACATCGAGAATTTTGAGGAGATTTGCAGCGCGACTGGATCAAATGGGATACCAGCCGATTTCTTGAAGTGCAAGCTTTTTCCATTCTCACTTGCGGACAAAGCTTTGCGCTGGCTGAAGTCATTACCACCTGGGTCATTGACTACATGGGAAGAGTGCAGATCAGCATTTTTGGACCATTTATACACTAAGGCCAAAACTGCAGCTCTGAAGAACAAGATCTCATCGTTTAAACAGCAACCTGGTGAAGCCTTCTGCGAAGCTTGGGAGAGGTACAAGGAGTACCGAAGAGAGTGCCCTCACCATCAGTTCTCTGATGAGCAGATTCTGTCAACCTTTTATGATGGTGTCAACTGGGATTACAGGAATGCTTTGAATGCAGCTAGCAATGGCGATTTCATGACTAAGTCCAAAGAAGCTGCTTATGAGTTGATTGAGAACTTAGCTGCAAGCTCCAGCAACAAATCCCAAGAGTATGACAGGTCTAGCAAAGCAGTTCATAGTGTGGAGTTGAGCAAGATCGATGAGCTTACAGCAAAGGTGAATCTGCTGTTGAGAGAGAACCAGAGATCTGTGCATTTTGCTGATGAGGTTGGTGATGCACTTCTTTCTCAAGAGTTTGTAGATGCAGAGAATAATGATCAGATGGAGGTAAATTTCGTGAATGGACAAGGGTATGTGCAGAATCGCAGCTTCAACAACTTCAGAAGCCACCCGAATTTATCCTACAGAAGCAACAATGTTGAGAACCCTCAGGATCAGGTCTATCTGCAGCAAGGAGTGCAGAATCAGTCAGGATTTCAGAAGAACTTCTCCAGCAACTTCCAAGGAAAGCAGTTCATCACCAATCAGAATCGGTTTCAAGGTGGAAATCAGCAGAAGTTGCCTTTCACAAGTCTGCAGCCTTCTTCGAGTTCCTCAAATAACTCGCAAGATGAGCTGAAAAACTTGATGCAACAGCTGCTGGTTAATCAGCAAAAGTCTTCCATGGAGATTAATGCCAAAGTGGACACCATGTACAATGATTTGAATGGCAAGTATGAAGCAGTGTGGACTCATGTGAAGAAGCTGGATGTTCAGGTAGCTCAGACTGCAGAAGCTGTGAAGAGATCACCTGGAACTCTCCCTGGAAAAGGTGAAAACCCCAGGAATGAGTTTGTGAATGCTATTGAGCTGAGAAGTGGGAAGACTCTACATGCT